TGTCTCAGATGCTCTTAACCATTGTACTAGATGCCTGCCCCCGATTTCCTGCTGTTTGCATGAACTGATTTGTGCTATTAAGAGATAAACTGTAACACATTCATGAAGTCATTCTGCTATGGCAAAAAAACAAAAATTGACCTTAAGAAAATGAATAGATTCCATATTGTGCCTTAATATAAATCAGGAGTGTACAACCTTTTATCCATCCTTATAGACCCAACAAGATTGAACTGAAAAAAACAAGATAGCAAATATGAATATCCCTTTATCTTTCTCTGGAATGCTCAAGTCGTTTCTAACATTCTTCTACAGATATCTCTGGTGGAGAAACATTGCATGGCTGTTCCACAGAGTGGTTTATTTCGTGTTTGCAAATGTCCTGCTGATTACTTCCCTAGAGACTATAAAGCTGCTCTGCTCTCAGCCAGTATAACTTTGGAATATTTTAAGCTTGTATTTTTTTTGGCCAACCAAACTGCTGCAGTGATCACTTTTTAATTTTTAAGAAAAATGTGTGTGAGTGGGAAAGTAGGACTAATAGTGGTGCACTGTGAGATAGCGAGGAATTTGTAGTAGTGTAATACTCTGTCATTTTTTTTTTAGCTCAAACAAAGCTTGCTAGTATTTCGTTCTGTATTTGCATATGCAAATAGATTAAAATATATTAATAATTTTCATCATCCTATTTGGCATCAATGTCTGTCACTACTAGGTCAGAAGTTAAACTTATGTGTGTTGACATGAATGTTTAAAGCTTTCCGTTCTGTCCTGCAAGTGTAAATATTTAAAATGCAGAATTTCGACTCAGTACGTAGCTTAATGACATCTACTTTGACCTGCTTTCTAGAATGTTGTATTTGTATATGGTAGAAATACCCTTTCTTTCTACTTTAGTTCTTTTTCCCATTTTATATATATTACCTTGAAGCTAAAGTCCTAATAACCAGTGCTTTTCTTGACTGAAGGATTATTATCCAAATTAAACTAGTCTCCAGGGAGGCATACCCAGGCCTGCATAGGTAAGAATTTCGAAGATTATGAGAGAGTAATGCATGGTTATCAAATGCATTTAATCCCCAGAGAGTTACAATTTTAGATTTTTTTTTTTTTGGAAAAATGCTATAGCAAACAATTTTGCTTTTTCCTGTGCCATTTTTAGTTCTAATTCTATCAGAGACAGGATGTTTGCTGAATGTAGCAGTGGTCTGATAACTGCAGGGACCTGGAATTTTGTTTATATTCTTAAACGATTAACATTGTAGATGTGGAAGTATTTTTTTCTGCATCTGGAGAATTCCAGTGAGATTCTTTTCTCTACTTGGAGCTGGCATTACTATCATTTCTTCCTGTTGTACCTCCCTAACACTGTGACTTTAACTGAGTTAGCCCTGCTGTATGTTCCTTTACTGATCCGCCAATCAATCCTCTATGGAATATCTATTAGCAATAATTTTCCCTTAAGTGCATCTTTCCTTTGGACTACATATAAAGGCAGGAACTAGAATCTAATATCATATACATCCTAATGCCAAGTTCAGAGCCTTGCTTTTAGTAGAAACTGTAATGAAGATTAGCATCTTCATACTAACAATTGACTTTCAGATATTAGTGGGTGAAGAGAGTCTTGGGTGGCAGTTCCATGCTGTCCTCAGGTTTTAGGCTCACCAAGCCTTCTCATACTTGGCTGGAGATCAGTTATTGCAGGAAAGGTATGGGAAATGGTGAATCATACTCTGGCTCATGATGCTTCTGTTTGAAACTGACAAGTCATTTTCTTTTGTATTTCATTGAGCAAAACAAGGCATATACCCACACCTTCTGTCACCAGGATGAGGAAGAAAAAAAATCCATTATGTTCCCAAAGAGCGGGCTGGAATTTAAGTGAGCAAGCTGTCATGTAAATACATGTCTGATATGTATAGGCATTTAATATCTGTCCAATGAATGAAGTCTCTAAAACTTTTTTCTATGCAGTAGACAGAATCACTTAAAATAAGGCAATTCTTTAGTAACTACATTGTTAAAGACAAGAATACTGAAAGTATTGTCTAAGCTATGTTTGGAAAATATCCAGGTTTTCTGGTAACTATTAGTTTTCTTTAATATTAAAGAAATATGGAACATCTATATTAAATAAGTACTTTTTTATTTCAAATACAATAAGTATAAAGCAGGTAATTGTCAATTAACATTTTGTTAAAGTCATTTAAGAGGGAGAAAATAGAAGTCAACATGTGGCTTAACAGGCTAATCCTCCACCTTCAAGTGTTGACTTTTAATAAGGGCATCATGTCCTGTCTGGCTGCTACACTTCCCATTTAGTTTCCTGCTTATGGCCCGGAAAAAGCAACAGAGGCTGGTCCAAGTCCTCAGTACCCTGCATCCACATGGGAGATCCAGGAGAGGCCCTGATTCCTGGCTTTGGATCAGCTCAGCTTTGGCTGTTGTGGCCATTTTAGGGAGTGAATCAGCAGATGGAAGATCTTTCTATCCTTTTCTCTGTAAATCTTCCTTTCAAATTAAAAAAGTAAATATGTTTTAAAAATTGGTTGGACTTCCAGTTAAAGTGTTGGATATATGTTGACAATACAATGCTGGACTGTCTGTACCCTCAATGTCAAGATACATTTAAATAGCAGAATGATGGACTTATGACTGCTTATGAAGGTCTATACTATTGTAATAATATGGGGGAAGTCAGTTGAGGGGAGGGAATTTGCAGAGGGGATAAGGGAAATCCCAGAGCCTATGCAGTTGTATCATAAAATTTAAAAAATAGAAGTAAAAAAAAATTTTTTTAAGTAAGTGGGAGAAAATATTTTAGTTTGCAACCATTTACATATTAAGTTAGTGTGACCAAGGAATTCTTTAAAATAACATTTTGAGGGACTGATATCTAGCTTGAAAACTGGGCAATTATTAAGGAAGAGTTAGAGTCCAATCAATGAAAAATGAAGTTGCTGCATCTTATGCTAAGTGGCATTTGTTTTTAATTATCAAAATAAACCCAAATCCATCATATGAAATGTAGAAAATGTCAAATTGGATGAAATAGGTAAAGCAGGATTCATTGGTAATACCACCTAGATAAGGCCACTGTTAATTTTTTGGTGTGACTTCATTTAGCCCATTGTTACTGTTGTTGTATGTGAATAGGCATAGAGGAAAGAGAAGATATTGTAGGCTTCTCAACTTTCCCCCTATTGTTGCACTTTTAGAGTGGTTTTCCTATAATATGAAATAATACTGTCTCGTGTGGTATTTGATCTAGCTGTTATCCACTGCTTGGAACACCAACATTACACATCAGAGTTCTCTGCTTTGAATCCCATTTCTGCTCCTTGTTCTCACTTCCTACTAATTCTTACTGTGGAAGTAATGGCTCAGGTAATTGGGTCACTGTACTCATATGGAGGCCCAGGATTGCCTTGCGGGCTTCAGTCTGGCTGGTGTGGACATATGGGAAGTATACCCATCAATAGGAGTTATATCTAAGTCTGTCTCCCTCTGTCCTTCTGCCTCTTGAAAAATTAAAATATATATACTGTAATGACCTCCAAATTCATTTTTGTTTTCTCAATTCTGAGATATTTGCCTAAGATGGTTGGCCAAGTCTTGCTGGTATTTTGGTATGAACAACCAACCAGAGACGAAGTTAGTTTGGAAAAGAATACTGAAGACAAGAGATTGTCTTGATGTCCATCAAACCAGGCTGGTGCTACTCTCAGGGTCAGAAAAGGTGGAAGCTGACAAGTGCTAAAGGGCCATTCGTTTTGGAGAGGAAAGGCACTGTGCCTGAGAAGAGAAGGACCTGCTACATGGTAGGACCAGTCTCAGCTGGGAGCCACATCTGAGGGAGAGCTTTAGTAGAGCACATACCACCAGACAAAGTTTGTTTGTATTCATCTGGGCAGGTTTGAGTTGGAGGGAAAGAAGCCCAAGGCAGAGTTTGCTACAGGAGGCTGTGGCTGTTTGGCAGTTGGCTCCTTAGCCCATCACCAGAGTTGAAGCAGCCAGGCTGTGTCCTGGCTGCAGGCTGTGAATAAGGGTCAGTTCCTTAGGAGGCTGCGTACGTTTGGGTGGGTAAAGGTCCCTAAATCTGTTTCTAGGCAGGAATGAGGAAGTCTGTGGTTTTCGTTCAGTTTCTCACCTGTGGGACAAGGGCTTTCTGAGGGCTAGAGATAAGACAGAGATATTAGATATAATCTTCTTCCTTAGACTTGTGACCCGATTACACAGCCTCTGTGTGATTGATTACTAACCATTTTCAGTATTATTTTTCTTGTACATCAAAGATGGCATGATGAGTGTCTTGCCTTCCCTAAGATTGGAGGGTAGTCAGTGATAGATTAATTCAATGAGAATGTTAAACTGTGTTTCCCATTTGCCGGTAATACATTTTTTTTTTTGGTCAGTAACGCAAGCTTTCTCATTTGCAATGATAGTTTGCAATTCAAAGATATGTTCACAGACCAAAGCTTCATTTTTTAAATATCTGTGTATTTGAAAACATTAATTGCCACAGTTTCTAACAAAGTTTTCTTTGTCTACAACATGTGAGTTTTCATTTTATCAGGATGGTTTCTGGGCAGTTAATCATTCTTGCAGGGACTTCTAAAGGGAGGTCGTTTGCATGTCCCCTTGGTGTTTACTAGGTCCTTGTGCAGCAGATGTTTCTCCAAGGTCTAAATGCTGAAGGGGAATTGTCTTTTTCAGCCTGACCCTGGGGTAAAGATTTGTTTTTCCAAAACATCTATGTTGTTCTCTTGAGTTTCCTTTTGTACAAAAAGCATCCCAGATCTGTGCTCTTTATTCTTCAGTTTAGTAGGTTTATTGGGAAAATAGATTTTGTGTGTGGAAGTTGCATTAGGCCAGACCACAAGGGTGTTTATTCAGATGTAGGCGGACAGAGGCTTTTGTGCTGATTTTTCTTTTCTTTTTAAGACCTTTTTATTTAATTGAATTAAGCTTTCTCCTGTTTTTCTTTACAGATTCTGGCAAAATGATGGCAGACCATAGTCCCATGCAGAGCCAGCAAGATTTACAAAATGGTAGTGTAGAGGAAGGCGTTGCGGTACATCCCCTTGAGAGCGACTCCCAAAACGGGATGGAGAGCCTGGGCCCAAGGAAATACTCTTCCAGTCTGAGGTTCAAAGCCAACGGGGACTATTCTGGCTCCTATCTGACCCTCTCGCAACCTGTGCCTGCCAAGAGAAGCCCTTCTCCTCTGGGCACCAGTGTCAGAAGTAGTCCCTCTGTGGCCAAAATCCAAGCAAGCAAGCCATTCTCCTGTGATGGGACTGACAAAAGTACGTCCATGAAACCTCCCACACCTTTACTCAGCACCCCTTCTGGTGCATACGCCCTGGGGAGAGCTGACTTTGATCACTACACTGGGCGGGACAGTGAGAAGCCCTTGAGACTCTCCGAGAAGCCTCCCTATTCCAAGTATAGCTCGAGGAATAAGTCACATGACAATGTGTACTTTCTCGGAGGGCTGGAAGGCAGGAAGGCATCTGGCTCCCTCCTGACCATGTGGAATGGCGGTTCCCTGAATGACAGCGGGCCCTCTCCCATCAGCAGATCGGGAGCAGCAAGCATGCCTTCAAGCCCAAAGCAAGCCAGGAGAATGAACCTTCAGGACAACCTGACACTGCAGCCCAAGTCAAGCAGACACCGGGAGCTGGCCACCGAAAGCGCTGCTTTACGGACCCGGAAGTATTCGGGCGGCCTCAGTCACATGGGAGCCTACAGCCGGTCGCTTCCCAGGTTGTACAAAGCCACAGAGAATCAGCTGACGCCGCTCAGCTTGCCTCCCAGAAGCTCTCTGGGCAATTCCAAACGAACAAAACTAGGGGAAAAGGATCTACCTCATGGCATTGTAGACGGCGACAATTACCTTAACTTTTCCTCTTTAAGCTCAGGAGCCCTCCCCTACAAGTCCTCTGCCTCCGAGGGCCATCCTTATGTCAGTTCCACCCTCAGCGTGCCTGCCAGTCCTCGTGTGGCTCGGAAGATGCTTCTGGCCTCCACCTCCTCCTGCGCTTCTGATGACTTTGATAGGGCTTCATTCCCGGGGACCAGTCCCAGCCACTCGATTCCTCTTGGAGAGCCAGACAGATTGTTTGTAGCCAGGAGGAACTTCTCTTGTGGCTCCATTGAGTTCGACGATGCTGATTTGGACAGCCTCCGTCAGGCCTCGGGGACGCCCCAGCCTCCCCTTCGGGAACGAAAGAGCAGCATTAGCTCCATTTCCGGGCGCGAAGACCTCATGGACTATCACCGGCGGCAGAGAGAGGAGAGACTCAGGGAGCAGGAGATGGAGCGACTGGTGAGCTTCTTGCTGATGGCTTCACTGTTTGGTGCGGCCGAGTCTGGGGCGGCCTTGGAGTGGACTCCAAGGACTGCTGTGAGGTGCAGTGTGTCCATGTGTGCTGCCACCCCTTCTTGGACCCCCTCCTCCTATCCTTCCCAGCTCACTGGTATTAGGCTTGCGGTGCTACTTGGCAGGTCTTCCGGAGCTTACTGTCAATTTAGTTGCTTTGCACAGCTCTCACCTGTAAGAATTATACTTGAAAAAGCTGACAGTGTTGCGGATTTACTCACGAGGCTTACAAACCCTTCTTTAAAGCTCTGAGGAAGTGCTGATGTGTATTACATACACCATTAAACTTGAAGGATATAACTAATACCTCCAAGTTTAACACGCGCAACAGCGGATGCAGTTACAATAGAAGTAGTTTGGGAAATCATGACTCATGGGGAATTTGTGGCTATGAATTTGTAGCAAGTTGTCTGCAGAGTTCAAAGGTTACCTCGGTGGAGCTGATCTCCTCCCTACACTGTTCATATACACCCCACACTCTTCCGTTGTGACTCCTAACACAGTCACTCCAAACTATACATGCACTCGCAGAATTTATTCAACTGCTTTTTCTCCCCAGTTAGAATGTATTTATATTTGCAAGGGGAGAATGGTGGAAATAAGAAGACAGGAGAATTCTTAAGGAATATCAGGCAGTGAATTTGTCTTTATAGCAAGCTGAAAATAAGAAAACAGAGAAATATGCCTAGTGAATGAGAACAAATAACTGCATTTTCCATTCTCTTTTATGTGTAAGCTTTTTTTTCTTTTAGAATGAATAGACATTAAGAATTATTTTGATTCATAGATGATTAGTATTTTCTTGATGATGGAAGCATCAAGATGGTGGAGCTAGTTTACAAAGTACAGGACTATTGGAATTATTTACAGGACTATTGGAATTATTTTAGTTATTACTAAGGAAGTGTGCATGAATCAGATGTTTTTTAGTCACAAACAAAATCAGTAAGCCCTACAGAACGATAAAATTGTAAAATTTAGATTGTAGTGAGGAGAAATCATTTGCATCTATCTAAGACAAAAATTGTCATTTTAAGAACCTTAGAAATAATACCAATAACATATCTGTTTTGAGAAACTTCATTTCCATTATCAGAACCATCAATTCTAATTAATTATTTTTCCTGTGCATCTTGGGCCATTAATTTGGTTTTATTATTTCATCTGTTTCTATACTAAAAGGAATCTTGGAAATGTGATTTAGTTGCTGAGCTCTGTCTCATCATTGTTTATGCAGTGTCAGCTCAGAAGCCTGTATCTCTAAGTCACTTACTTCTTTGTGATATCAGGTGTCATGATGCGGCCCCTTCTGTGAGCTCTGAAATTGCCGTCTTTGATTAAAGGCACATTGTGGTCCCTAATGTGAACCCCATTCTTGGGAGGAAAGTGATGACCGAATGACGATTGGGAAGAGTAGGGGCTGTGGTTAATTCAATGATGAACTGAAACTGTGTCAGTGTGACTTAGAGTTAGAATTCTGTGAAAGGGTATAAAACACCGGTCTTATTTCATCAGTTTGGTTCTGTTCTGTTTTTCCCTGAAAGCTAAGAACATTACAGAGAATAAGGGCATTGGCGTGTATTCAGGATCTTTCTCTAAAGTAAATTATCTGTACACTATTTTTTTATTTATACTAACATTTTTCTGTAGAAAATCATTTTAGAGCAAACTAGACTTCTCATCTGATTTGATAAATCTTATACATTTCATGTAAAACTAAGGAGCGTACCAAAAGGAACCTATTATTTCTAATATTTTTGCTTTTGTAAGATTGAAGAACGCATCTTTGTAATTGTCCAGAATTCCTCCAAGAAAACCTGAAGAGAGTTCAGGTATAAAATATCTTGAATTTCTTTCTCCCTTTCCCCAAGGTTTTAGGGTGTGCTGAGTCGTGGAAAGTAAATCAAGTCTTAAAGGAGATTTTTGTCATTTGATTAGTACAGAATTGTGCGTAACTGAGCACAGTGAATCTTTTGATTGGGCTAGATACTATGCAAAGTGATGATACATTAGTTTATAGTAAACAAGGACCTTCAAGTGACTCCGAACTGAGGAACTGTTGTTATTTTAGAGATACAAGGATAGTCTAGTTTGCACAAAGCCCAGAAACTTACTCTGGTGGCACCAAGACTCTGCTGCTGGGGCATAAGACTCAGAAGAATAACCTTTCATTACCTTTTGTAAGCAAAGACTAATTTTCCTCAGATCAGTTTGTCATTACAACAGAAATAACTGTATCTTAGTTTTATATCACCAGGGTGCTTGTCATGTGGAGCTTGCCATGCATTACATTCTCCATAAAATATGCCAGGAATAAGGGTCAAAACTGTACAAACTTTGCCTAAATTTTACCATTTTATTACTTCCTGATGACTTAACATTTTCAGGTATCACAAGTCAAGACAAATAAATCATGCTTACTTTGTTCAAACCTCTTTCTGCTTCTGTCCTTCCTGGTCCTCTTTCAAATATGTTTTCTGATTGGGAGATGGGAATTTTGTTGAAGCCCAAGCATTCTGGAACATAATTACTATGAATGTAAAAAAAAAGATGTAACAATCATAATTTACATACAATTTTTTAAAGATTTTTTAAATTAGAAAGTCAGATACACAGAGAGGAGGAGAGACAGAGAGGAAAATCTTCTGTCTGTTGATTGACTCCCCATGCGACCACAGTGGCCAACACTGTGCCGATCTAAAGCCAGGAACCTCTTCCAGGTCTACCACTTGGGTGCGGGGTCCCAAGGCTTTGAGCCTTCCTTGATTACTTTCCTAGGCCACAAGCAGGGAGCTGAATGGGAAGTGAGGTGGCTGGGATTAGAACCTTCAGCCATATGGGATCCTGGCATAGTCAAGGCAAGGACTTTAGCAGCTCGGCTACTGCACCGGTCCCTAGTTATACAAATTTTATGTTTTTCTTTATCTCATGGTAATATTCTTAACTTTATATTTTAATAAGTAAATAGAAAACATTTGAGAAGTTCATGCAAAGTAAATTTTGATACAGAAAATCCAGATCATATTTAAAAATGAAATTAAATTTGTGTTTTATGCAATAACAAAACAACGAAAAGATGTATGGCTGTTCCTTAAGCCAGATTATTTAGTCACTTTAATTTGTGTAAGGATTCACATTGTGTAAACTTGCTTTCTAATGGGGACGAGATGTTGTTGAGTCAGTAGTTTTTATGAGAAACATCTTTTTCTGTAAATAAAACATTTAATTTTTTCTATTTTTTTTTACTTCTTCTCTGTTTATTTGAAAACTCAGCATAATTTTCTTAACAAAAGAGTGAGCCATAAGTAGGAACCCCAGGGATCTCTTAATAAAGGGTAATATCTACTCTGTACCGGTACTATCTCCAACTGCTACACAATTTGAGGTATTTATCTATATATAATATATAAACATCGATATATTCCTTTTTTCTTGCTCTTAGCTGCCTGTTTATGCTTTGGTCTTTATGCCAGTCTTTTCTTTTTATGCTTTTGAAAATAAAATATGAGGGCCTGGCACGATCACTCAATGGCTAAATCCTCACCTCACTAGAGCCAAGATCCAGTATGGGCACCAGTTCATCTCCTGGTTGCTCCATTTTCCATCCAGCTCCCTGCTTGTGGCCAGGGAAGGCAATAGCAGATGGCCCAAAGCCTTGGAACTCTGCATCCATGTGGGAGACCTGGAGCAGGTTCCTGGCTCCTTGTTTCTGATCAGCTGACCATTGCAGCCATTTAGGGAGTAAACAAGTTGAGGAAGATCTTTTTCTCTGTTTCTCCTTCTCTCCATAAATCTGTCTTTCTAATAAAAATAAATCTTTAAAAAGAAAACAAGATAATGAAAAACTTGACTTTATGATGTTCTAAATAAAGAATTATGAAGTCCAAATTAAATGTGTGTAAATCAGTTTATAGATTTCAGGACTTCCATTTGGACTGTTCAACAGTCGTTTTAATTCCCTTGCACAGAACACACTTTATAGCAGGGAACATCACCGAATAAGTTATCTTTGGAGGGCTGGGATAGTGACTGTTTGACGCATTAGCTGTTCTACACATTAAAAAATCTTTACAAAGTAGTTAAGATAGTCTTTTTCTTCGTCTCATTTGACACGTGCGTACCTCCCAGTAATTCTAAGGTAATGATGGCCTTTGAGTGCTTCTTACATTCCAGAGTATAAAAATCCATTTTTAAGTATAATTTAGGTTTTTAGAAATAAAAAACTAAAAGAAACAGCAGTGTTGAAAGCATTCATTGGGTTATTGCCAGAAGCATCTATGGTATTGTGCATAAGCAATGGATTCCCGCGAGTTGCATTGTAGCAGTCTTCGTGGGTTCTTTCCTGGCAGCTGGTGGTCATTGCAGTGCCTGAGAAACAGCATTGCTGGCATTCACTGCACTCCGTGGTGCCTCATGATAGCTAAGGTCCATGGAGTACAGTTTTCTATCACTGTGCATCTCCTAAGGATAAAGTTGGCTTTCTTTCCCGGAACATCCTGCTATTTCCATGGCAGTTATGTGGATAGGTAACTGTCTGACTCAGCACTTCTCTGAGGTTGGAAAGATGATTTCTTCTTACAGCTACTTTAAAAGCATGTTATATCTTAAGTATGTTAATCTGCAAGAAGCTAAGACCTTGGCTGTCTAGGTAGCAGACTTGAATATTGGAAGCATTGCATCTGTATTTAAGAAGAATAATTTGACTTTTTTGGTATGCATTTATAGCATTCTTTCTGGCTTTCCTTATTCTGTGCTCTGGGCTGTTTCTCAGCTTCCTATATGGTATGCATTTAGTTCCAGGTAACAGGGAAGCACCTTACAAGGAAGGCAGATACACCAGCACAGACAGATTCTCTGCTTCCAGAAAAAAAGAGTTTTTCCTAAAAGCAAAAAGATGGAAAATGAGTTACATTTTCTGGCTTTAAAATGTTTTAGTACTCTTGCAA